GCTCCTTATTCTTTCGCCCTGGAAAGCCCACGGTACCCTAGAGATGGGCTTTTTCTGTGTCCTTAAAAAAAAAGCTGTCTGAAACTGCTCTTCCTGTTTCAAAGGAAAGCTATTGTCCTAGGAATCTGAGATGGTTAAATCCTTTCTTGCTCACACATACACATGTACGTTCACCCTCCCACCTCATATGCAGTGGAAATCATGTCTTGCTGGACTCTAGGAATCTCTAAGAAGACAGAATCATCAGAGAATGTTTCAGGCAGGGTCCACACCTCTTTTGACCTCCTGTTCCAGATTTCCTCCTCCTTAGCAGGGGTATCCCTAAGGGGAGGGGTGCGGGCGGGAAGAGTCGAGAAGGGTACACGTCATCCACCTGGAATCCTGGCATTTCTTTAAATGTACACATATAAAAACCACTGTCAACAATCCAGAAGTAACAGGAAGAGACTCCCTCCTCTCTGAATTATTTCTGTGGGCGCTCTTGCCTACCTTGTAGTCCTCGGCAGCCTCCTCCAGGGGAACCACATCATGATCCCTGTGCTCTTTGGATCTGTCACACACCACACAGATGAGGGCTTCATCATCCTTGCAGAACAGCTTCAGGGGCTCCTGGTGCATCCAACAGAGTCTCCCCTTTCCTTCAGCCTTTTCGCCTTGAAGAGGGAGCTTCTTGGTTAACCATCCAACAGAGTCTCCCCTTTCCTTCAGCTCCCTTTTCCCCTTGAAGAGGGAGCTTCTTGGTTAATTCCACAAAGTTGGCCAGCTGCCAATTGGGGATGAGGTTCCTCCGGACTTTTTTTCTGCACTGAGGGCAGGAAACTTTTATGCCCTCCGTCCCTTCCCAGCACTGGGTCAGGCAGGCTCGGCAGAAATTGTGCCCACATTCAATGGTGACTGGATCCTTGAGATAATCCAGGCACATGGAGCAAGTGACTTCCTCGCAGAAGCGGAGGAGAGAAGCAGTAGCCATATCTTGTCCTACAAGGAAGTAAAGTGGCTAGTTTCATTCCGTCTGCTTTAAGCGAGAGGGCATTTCTCTTCCTGTAACTCCGTCAGCTTGAAATCATCAGCGTGTGGGGAAAAAAAGGGAAGGAGGTGAAAGAACAGCTGCAGAAACGAAGGTTTTTGTAAACAGGTTTTTGAGAAAGAAAGGGAATGAATGAAGGGAAGGAGAAATATTTGCTAGCCATGGTATTTTCTGGTCATGGAGTCAGGACTCTGAACACCTCTTTCCCTCCTTTAATCAAAAGATCGGGAGGGGTGTTTGTGTGTTCATTTCCTGCTGAGTGTGCAGCTTCACACTCCATGCAGTGTATGTGCCTGAGAATTGTTGTTATTGGGTTTTTGCCTTTTGTGGGTGAGCCTTGTTACAGGATCCCTTTCTAGCAGTCATTTCTGTGGGCCTTTAAGCCCACTCGATTTCTCTGTTCTCTGGAGCAATAAACCAGGCAGAGGTTGAGCCGGAAGTAAAAACAGTTGATAGGATCAATTTAGAAAATACAATAATAGGAAAAACGAATCTAGACAGCTGACCATATGCTAGGCTGGAACTTGTGGTCCCAAGTGGGCATGTCCTACTCCTCAAGAGAGAGAGATGTTAACAGGTCAAAAGGAAAGGTAAGAGTGGGGAGAGGGACAGGAAGAGGCTGATCATTCATTTGGAGAAAAGGTGAGTAGAGAAACAGCTAGCGAGAAGATCAGACACAAGACTGCTCTGTTTCGCAAATGCCCACTTGAGGTGTTTATGACAGACCGGCAGAAAGAGGTGGTGCTTCCAAATGAATCTCATACCAGTTGGTGCTTTTGCCAAGGACATGCCCTGACGAATTTAGAGCCTGTCCTAATGAGTATGGAGATTGGTACAGTATTTGGATAGGTTCCGGTTTGGTTTCGTTTGAACCAAATTGCGAACCACATTTCTGTTTAGATCAAGCCATCCTGCCCCTTTTAGAGCCGACCCGCTCCTTTCTGGTACAGGGCTAGGGAATTCTGGGTTTGGTTTTTTC